TTTTGCCAGTCTGTTTCTCTTGATTGGTGAGTTGAGCCCATTGACATTGATGGGTATAACTGATATGTATTGACTTATTATTGACATGCAATTGGCCTTTTGTTGACTCTTTTTACTTTTTCACCTTCTCCTTTTAATTTCTTGCCTTGCCTATTTGATTTGCTCTGTTGGGCCTCATGGTGTTGTTGCCTTCATTGTCTTTTTCTAGGATCTTGTTTAGAATTGCTTGTAGTGCTGGTTTGGTATTCATGTAGTTTCTCAGGTGTTCTTTGTCGTGGAAGTGTCTTATTTCCCCATCCATTTTGAAAGAGAGTTTTGCTGGATACATCAGTCTAGGTTGGAGGTTGTTCTCTTTTAGTACTTGAAATATCTCATTCCAGGCTCTCCTTGCCCCAAGGGTTTGTGTTGAAAAGTCTGCTGTGATTCTGATGGGCTTTCCTTTGTATGTGATTTGTTTCTTTTCTCTTACTGCTTGTAGTATTTTGTTCTTCTGTTGGGTTTCTGGGATCTTGATTATTATATGTCTAGGTGTAGATTTTTTTTGATTGTAGCTAGTTGGGGTCCTATATGCCTCACTTATCTGAATGTCAAATTCTTCCCCTCTGTTTGGAAAGTTTTCTGTCATTAATTCTGTGAACAGCTTTTTAAAGTCATTTGCATTTTCTCCTGCTACTTCATGGATTCCTATCAGTCTTATGTTATTCTTCTTTGCATCATCTAGGAGTTGCTGGATCGATTTCTCATGATCCCCTACTGTTTTTAAGAGACCTCTCTTTTCATGGTCACTGACTGCAATCTTATCTTCTATATCTGAGATTCTATCTTCGCATTCTTTTATTCTGTTGCATACAGTTTCAATGGAGTGTTTAATCTCCTGGATATCTGTTTGAATCTGTTTTATGGATTCCATTTCTTTCCTATGTTGGGCGTTTATTTCTTCCATTTCTTTCTTATGCTGGGCTTTCATGGCTTCTATCATGGTCCTGAGCTCATCTATTTTTTTGTCAGTTTCTGTTCTAGAGTCTCGAATCACGACTTCCATTTTGCTCACTATCTCTATGGTTATCTGGGAAATTATTTCTGTTTTGAATTTTTTCTAGAGCCTGATTGATCTGTTTTGTTACTTCCTGTGCTTTGAGTTCAGGGTGTCCTGGTGGTTCACTATCGGCCTTTTCATCCTCATTTGCCCTACAGTTTGCCATTGGTAAACTGGAAGTCTGTCTTTTTGTCTTGCTTAAGTGTTTTCTCATTTTTATTTTTGTTGTCGGGCTGCCCTTGGTTTAATCTCTGGGTTATCACCCAAATCTTCCTGATATTAGTTGCCGCCTAGCTTCTGGGTCTCTAATGATGCACAGACATTCTCATCTTCATAAGATGAGAGAAAACAGCTCATCAAATCAACCACAATGCTTTATCCCAACTGATACAATCAGCAGCACATTAAGATCAAGCACAACTTGGACACTGACCACCTGTGGTAGTCACTAGTCTATCTCCCTTAAACCATTTGAATTAAATTGAATCAAGAAGCAGTCCAGAACATGTCTGCAGTGAACAAATGTTTCAATATAGTATATTTACCATTTAATGGGTCAGACAGAGCTAGGACGCAAGACCCCTGCTCTCAGTTAGCTGATGGCTGAACCCCATGATGCAGACTGACCTCAGGCTGCAAGGCCCAGATTGAGTTCCCCTACTTTCTGAATGGTTGAACGCCATACCATTCTACTACAGGTTTCCCATGCCCTTTCTTTAAAGATGCTTAGAGTTGGGAACTCAGAAAAATATCCTTTATGACCACCTCTGCCTCTGCAGAGTGGGTCCAAAGACTGGCACAATCAGGAGGTCTGAGAGTGTGGGCGGGGGGAGGAGGGGAGGTAAGGGGAGTTATGGGGGCTCAGGGGCGCCTGCTTGGCTACCTTCCTGATGCTGGCACGATGGCAGCTCCAGGTGGTAGAGGGCATGGCGCTCCTTCCTGCAGTGAATCGGGCCCAGGCTACCTTCCGGCCGCTGGAGGATGGCAGCTCCGGGTGGGAGAAGAGATGCATTTATTTTATTATGAATGGCTCAAATTTTTCCTTTTTTATGGCGTGGTGTGCATGTGTGTGTGTGTGTGCATGTGCATGTATATCACATTTTCCTTATTCATTCTTCTGTTAATGGATGTATAGGCCACTTCCAAGATTTAGCTATTATGAGTTATGCTGCTATAAACTTAGGTATGGCTGTATCACTGTAATATGATGCTGTTGGCTCTTTTGGGAAGATTACCAGAAGAGAGATAGCTGTGTCAAATGGAATTGCTAGTTTTAGGTTTTTGTTTTTGTTTTTGTTTTTTTTTTTAAAGAATCTGCACACTGATTTCCCAGTGGTTCTAGTAGTTTACATTCTCACCAACAATGTAGAAGGGTCCCTTTTCCCCCCAAACCTCTCCAGCATTTTAAAAATTATTAATGATAGCCATTCTTTCTGGAAAAAGAACCTCGGTGTTTTCTTGATTGCATTTCTCTATTGGACAAAGATGCTGAACATTTTTTCAAATATTTATTGGGCATTTGTACTTTGAGAATGCCTATTCATTTCACCTGCCATTTTTTGATTGGGTGTTTTGTTTTGGCAGGCTTAATTTTTATTAGTTCTTTATACACAGAATTCTAGATATTAGTCCTCTCTCCAAGAAGTAGACAGCAAACCCTTTTTCTCATTCTGTAGGTTCTTTCTTCACTATTAGTTGTTTGTTTTGCTGTGCAAAGTTTTAAAATTTTATATAATCCAATTTATTAATTGTTGGTATTATTTCTTGGGCCATTGGGGTTCTGTTGAGAAAGTTCATGCCTATGCCTAGGTCTTCAACACTTTTGTCTATTTTATCTTCTATCAGGTATAACATATGTTTTAATATCAGAGTTTTTGATCTTTTTAAATTTTATTTTACTACAGGGTGAGAGATATGGGTCTAGATTCATTCTTCTGCATATGGATAACCAATTTTCCTGGCACTGTTTATAAAGAGGCTATCTTTTCTTAAGTGTGTTTTTGGCCTCTTTGTCAAAGATGAGATGGCTGAATATGCCTTTACTTGTTTCTGCATCCTCCTACTCCACTGATCAACATGTCTATTTTTATGGCAGTATCATGTTGTTTTTATCACTGTATCTCTGTAGTATAACTTGAAAACCAGGATTGTAATGCCTCCTGCTTTGTTCTTGTTGCTCGGGATTACTTTGGTTACTCTGGGTCTCTCAGCTTGCACATTTTCAAACCTTGGAATCCCTTAAATCTTCAAGAATAAAAGACCTATAACTGCTAGGATATATTCAACAATACAATTCTAATAAGTGAAATTTATTTATATTTCACTTGTGAGGTTTAATTTAATTTTTAAATCATTTTCTAGCCAACAAAATTTCCAAGTGTTCACTCAAATTATTTCATTACTTAACACAACATTCCTTCTTTGATTTCCCCACCAAAATTAAGAGTCATTTTGTCTGTGTTCCTAGCAGATACCATCAATTATTATTTTCTATACAAGCACTCTACCACTAAGCTACATCCTCAACCCCTGTTTCTTTTCTATCTTTGTAATAAGCAATGCAGTCATTTATCCACATTGATTTCTCTCATAAGCTGTAAGCTTTTTAAGGTTGGGAGCCAGATCTTTGTCATTATTGTAATATTTCTTTCATTTTCAGTGTTTAGCATAATATACAGTATATTATTATACACAGAACACACTCAACACTTTTCTAACTTAGGTTAAAATTATTTGCATGTATATTATTAAATCATCTCTTTAAAAAATCACCCACAGCATTTTACCTCCACTTAATCCAGAGTTCTACGTAAACATGAAGTTTAACTATCAGAAAGTCTTTCCAAAGGCAGATTGGGTCTTTTGTTGCTGTTTTTATGAAAAATCCCTTTCTATCATTTATGTTTCTCCTCTCTTGTTTCTGTGCAAGGTAGTTTTTCTTCCCTAATCAAGATACTAAGTCAGAAAGCATGTATTCAAATACCTGTAGTAACCAGGGAAACTAGTATAACTTAGCTGAACTGGGAAAATAGTAAGGGCTGTGTTGTTTTAAATAAACTGGATGGCCCAATTGCTATCCTGTGCCAGAACAGAGGTTCAATGTTGTCATGTTTCCTTATCGTCTATTCAAACACCTGCAGTAACCAGAGAAATTAGTATAACTTAGCTACATTGGGAAAACAGTAAGGACTGTGGTGTTTCAAGGAAACTGGAAGGCTCAATTGCTATCTAACCTGGCTGGCTACAATGGTTCCCATGCCAGGAGGTGCAATGTTGTCAAGTTGCCCTTGTCTTTCAAAATAAATCTTTCTTTAAAATGTAAAATTAATTCAAGTAAAGAAGATTACAGAAGATTTAATTACATTGTGTTTCAAAACAATTGGCTTTTATTTGCAATTCTAGAATTGGGCAACATTTCATTCTATAAACAGAGGTAGAACACTACTGGGCATGGCAGAATCCTTGTTTTTAATAGGGTAAGAACAAAGAAACAGAACACTAAAAGAAAGCAGCAGATTGATTAACATCAGGTTACTTAAAAGTGTTAAAGAAGAAGGAACTACCTAATTTCACCGACTCAGGTTGGCTAAATCCTTTCTAATTGGTTGCCATAAATACCCTATTTGAAGATCTACTTGTTTCTTTAACATTTTAGTTTCTTTAACATTTTTAGTTTAGTCTGGGCAGGAGCTCAATTCAAAAGCAATGGTCTCCCATAAACTTTATCTCACAGGGAAAAAAATACTTATTTACTAAACAAATTTTATAGGCAAGCTTTACTCACAGCAGCCACAAATGTAGAACTCTTACATTAGGTAAATATCATTTAAGTAAGTTTTGTTTTCATCAGAAATGCATATAAATGTCTTAATTTCAAAATTATAGAATATGAGTAAAAAGGAAAACAGAGAACTGTAATTTTAAAAGTAGGAGGCAAGCAACAGATATGTAAAACAATACTCACATAGATGGCTTTAATGATTGGAGTCTAATAATTTCTGTGCTTACACTGTAGCACTTCCAGTGAATCTATAAGGAAATGGAAATTTATCCTCCCCAAGTGTGTTCATCTTCCACAAGCCAATGTTTCTTATTTATGATACTGGAGGGAACAAAATTGAACAACTAGTCAGATTTTCTTCTCCTTGGCTAAGTTTACTAGAACAGAGGCTTTCAAACTTTGATAAAATATCAGAATGACTATAGGACTTGTTAAAAACCTAGATTACTAAAACCCTCCTAGAATGTCTGATCCATAAGGCGGCCTTAGAGAATGTGCATTTCTAGTCTAGATGGTGTTGATGTGGTTGCTTGGGAGACAGTGCTTTGAGAATCACTAAATTTGCGATTCCCATGAAGGCTGATTTATAAGTGTGACCAGCGGGATTCACGTATGAAAAAGCTACCAGCCCCAACATAAAAACTACACGCTGGCACATCAAAGTGTACCTCCAGGAATCTACAGATATTCCCATTTACTCTGCATGCTTACCTTGTTAAATGAAATTAATGGAAGGTCATAACTTTGGTCTAGTCTGCACCACACTCCAGCAGACCAAAACAAAACAGAAATGAGTCACTCACGCTAAACGCCCATTTGATCAAATTGACCCTTGAAATGGGTCAGTTTTCCAAAAAAGTAGGAGAGGCACTGTAACCAATCAGAAGGGGTCCAATTTACCCCAGACAGCATGACAAAAGCGTCTTTTTAACTCTGTAAGGAAAGCAACTCTGAAACACCAAGCTTACTGTTCCTTACCTATGTTTTTTGGAGCTCCTTTGTGCCTATAAGCCAATCAGGTTGTGGGAGCTGTATTTCACAAAATGAAATGCTATCAGGACTCATGAATCGGAAATTAAGGTAATTAGAGCCGTAAGGTTGTTGTAACCTTGTTTTTCAATACCTTGTATTATGAAAACTTTTATCTTTCTCCTCCTCTTGCCAGTGAACACCTTTCTAACCGGTTTGGCCAGGTTGTGGCCTTTCAGTGCTCCATAAAACCGTAAGCTACTCAGTTGCTGAGCCCTTGGGCCTTCCTCACTCGCGTGGGATAAAGCCTCCACAGACACTTCAAAGGCTACGGTTATCCTTTTCCCTCGGAGAATAGCATCACTTTTAGAAATATTTATCAAAATACCCTAAACTTGTTTCTTAGGAGTCACAGCCAGTTATAGAGCACGCAAACAAACACGTGACTTGGAAAACTCCGTCCTTTGCGGCCCCGGTGAGGTACAACAGTTCACGCCCACCCTTCGGGTGAGTTGACGAAGGGGGCGTGGCCCGGAGCGCGGCGAGCACGTGACCGCGGAAAGTAGAGCGCTACCGAGTCGCGCGATCCGCCGTCATATCAGCTTATGATGCCGGCCGCTGATTGGCTGCCGCGCCTGCCGCCAGCGCGTGGCTAAGGTTCTCTCCTCTGGCGCATTGGCTCGCAGAAACCAGGCGCAGCACTTAACCGAGCGGTGTAGTCTGAAGCGACGCCCGACCTTGCACAGGTAGGTGCGAGGGCACGGAGCCCAACGGCGGAATACATCCGTGACGCGGTCCCGGGGGGGATCGGGAGCCAGTGCCAGTGCCACGACCTTCCTTTCTCCCGGCGTCTCTGGGGTCTCTTACATGCCTCCCAGGTGCCGGGCGCCGGGCCGGTCCCGGGCGCGCCTTCCGGAGCGGGCGCGGGGCCGAGGATGACGGGAGCCTGTCACCTGCGGCTGAGCAGCCTCGGGCGGCGCGCTGGGGCTGGGACAAGGTCCCTGCACCCAGGGCGAGGCCTGGACTGGAAGGAAAGTGGAGCGGTTTGGGCAAGGACTGGGCGTTGTTTGATTTTGGCTGTAGCGGGAAGTGTGGCCGCTGAAGACTGTCATGCTTTACTTTGCTACTGATTTCCCTCCCTTCCGGGAATGATTTTTTTTTTTCTTTTTCTTAAGGGGCAAAGGAGTCAGGCCGAAGAATTGGTCAGTATCTGTCATTTCTGCAATGTAATTAGAATAGAGAGACGGCAGCCTCCAGTTTTAGATGACTAGAAGGGAGTAGGATGTTATTACTTTACCATCGTAAAAAGAAAACTGCTGTGTCCTGACAAATTTTCAAGGTGGTGTAGATGAAAACGTTGCCTCCATAGAGAAAGTTACCGAACTGAAAAGTCTGTATCAACCTGGTATTGTTAACCGGAACCCATATAAGTGGTCATCTTTATATCACTGTCATCCCTTTTTCAGTTACCTATGGTAAATATCTAATACTAAGTAAATGACCCATAATCATTTGCAGAGTGCTTTTATGCTCGTTATATAATGTAATTAGAATTCTTCAGTGGCATATATAACATCTTGAGACAATGTAGTAGGTAAGAGAACAGGCCATAGAATGTACTGTACATCATAGCTGTTACTTGTGACTGGGCAGATTATTTAAATAATCCTGATCTCAGCATCCTGTGTGTGTAGTGGATTATTATAGACATACCTGCATCATAGAGTTGGGACAGTTTTCACAATACATGGTTCTCAGTGTTAACTGTTATTACCTATATTTTTTAAGATCAGGAAAAAGGAATAGTAGGTGCAGTCATTCTGAGCTTAGTAGTGTTTTGTTGAGTGTTTTAAGAAAAGGTCTGTTTAGCTGGGTGTGGTGGCGCACACCTGTAATCCCAGCACTTGGGAGGCTGAGGCAGGGGGATTGCTATGAGTTCGAGACCAGCCTGGGCTACATAGTGAGTTCCAGGTCAGTCTCAACTACATAGTGAGACTATGTAAAAAAAAAAAAAAAAAGGGTCTCTTTGGCCGGGCGTTTAGCTCAGTAGTCCCACTGCCTGCCTCTCAAGGGCAAGGACCCGAGCTCGATCCTGGTACTGGAAAAAAAGAAAGAAAAAAGAAAAGAACGAAAATGTCTGTTTTTGCAAGGACAAATAATATTTAATATAAACACCTGTTTCAAGCAGTAGTACTTAGGGTTAGCCCCTAACTTTAGGGGATGTAACCCTTATATCTTGAGCTTAAAGACTCACTAATAATTTTTTAAATGTGAGAAGTCGAATAGTTGACATAGTGGTAAAGAGGCAGTAAGTAGGACCTGGGTGAAGTTCATGGGCTTTGCAACCTCTTTGTGTGATTGGATGCTAGCTCCTGCCTTCATTTACTCTGTGACTTTGGACAGGTTACTTGAATTTTCTGTGTCCACCTTCTTCATCAGTAAAATAAGGATAATACCAGTATCTTGGAGTTTTTTTGAAAGGGTTCAATGAGTTAATATATATATATATTTACAGTTCCTAGTATATGGCAAATGCTAATCATAATTATTACCAATTATTTTGCAAAAAAAAAAATCAAATGGCACCTTTTCTGCCTTAATTTAGACTCAACTTTGGCTCCCACAATAGTAATTGTAGTAATTCCTATTTGTTGAGTATCTCCTGAGGGTAGATGGTGTCAGAAGACTAATTCTACAATTCTATTACTTAGGTCTCATTAGCTCTGTTTTACACATGTGGGTTGGAATATAAACATACTTTGAAATTTAATTGTAGTTTTGAAAACGTATCCATCACACTTTTTTTAATGTTAGGTGTCAGAAATTACAGTGTATTTGTGCATGCATTCACCAAATACAATTAATTAGAACCGAAATTTAAGAACACTGAGAACGGGGTTGACATAATATTGGAACTTCCTCTAGATTAACTGAGAGGCATTTCCTCCTTCCAGGCACTGATTTACTGTTGAGCAATGATGTGCAGGGAATATACAAATGAACACAATCAACATGGTCTTGCAATAAAAGGAAAATTAGAGAGGCTTTCTTAGGTTTTGTGGGGGTTTTTGTTGTTTTTTTGTTTTTGGTTTTTTTTCCATACTAGGGACTGAACCCAGGGTCTTTATATTGACCTACATTCCAGTCCTTTATTAATTTTTAATTTTGAGTCAGAGTCTTGCTAAATTGCTCAGGCTGTACTTAAATTTGCAGTCCTCCTTCCTCAACCTCCTAGAGTTCAAGGATTACAGGTGTGTGCCTTCATGCCCAGCTGAAAAGTGAAGGACTGAGATTCTTTTAAGGACTGAATTGTTATGTATTATTTATGATAATAAAGATTGAACGAAGAAGATTTCTAATTAATGTTTGGGTTCTTTTTTTAGTTGCACTGTACTATTCTATGTACAGTAAGGTATTGAATTAGGGCTCTATGGCATTACAGATGATCCCTATTACTTAATGATAGTTCAAAGTAAGATTTCTTTTTGTCTTGATATCAGAGTGATTTGCAGTCACTAGAAATCATATTTTGAATTTTGATCTTTCCCGTGGCTTGTAATATGCAGTGTAATGCTCTTATTTCTGGTCATCCCAGTCAGCCAGTCCAGCATCAGGAGAAACAGCCAAAACTGTATTGTTCTGTGTTGCTGATCTAGGATTCTTGGTAGGTTAGGTGTATTAAAGGCACTTAATAGTTGATATTTTCTATTTGTGGTAAGTTCACTGGGACATAAGCCCAAGGAGTATCTGAATAGGTAACATGTAGATTAGTCCAGTTCTTACCAACCTTTAGTGATATAGCAGTATCCTTTTTAATTGAGTGTTTATGTTCCCTGGACTCACTGTTTATGTTAATACCTAGCATTTGGTGTTAATATTTTCCCTGAAAAGTAATGAAAAACATTTTTAATTCATATTATAAGCAAAAATCTAAACTCATAAATAATGAGCTTGTAGAGTTTGATTTTTATGAAACTCTAAACAACACAAAGAGAAAATGGACAAAGGATTAAGGACAGACTTTATTCACATAAAAAATAAATGCTCAACCATACTTGTAAGGTGAATCTAGATTGAGTATGCATCAGGGTGTCTTCTTTCCTGTTAATTGATGAATGTTTAAAAATGTGATAATATCCTCTGTTAGTAAGGTTGTAGAGAAATAGGCATGATCCTCCATTGTGTGAGCACTCACAAAGTACAATGTCCACTATGGGAGGAATTTAACACTATGTGCTTATAAAAAAGGTTGTAAGTACAATTTCTCTTTGACCTGATTGTAGTGCTTGTAGACATGTACTAGTATAAGGTTAGTCACAGTCTCCAAGTCTGGAAAGACCTGAGAACCAGACAATTGTTTTGCTTTTGGTTTTGCTTTAGGATCAGCCCTCAGACTCATTTGATGTCAAATTCTAATTGACTGAAGAGCCCCGTACACCTACCAGGTATTCCTGTCTTGCTTGCTAATACTATTTTACTTTTGTTGTTGTGTTGTTACTTTGGATTTAATTGCATGTGAAAACACAGAAAATGAATTAACCTGATGAGTGATAATGAAAATAAATGAACATCTGTTATTAATAGCATAGTGTATGATATGTCTGTCAGGCATCCTATTGAAGAAGAAAGTGTGGGAACCACCACTGTGTGGTATAAGGAAGACAGAGATTGTTTTACAGTGGCAGCAAAGACCAAGAACTTAACGAAAAGTAGGAAAAATTTTTCTATGGGACAGAAAATGAAGAACTTAACTGTGTTTGATTAAGCATATTTGACAATAAGGAAGTAAATAAATGCCACTCGTTGCTGTGTTGATCATGAAACAACCTAGTATATATGAAAAACTGCACTCAGGAAGAATAGCAGCATTAATAAGGAAGGATTCAGAAATTTAGAAAATAGTGTGAAAGTATAGCAAAGACTAAAAGTTTTATTATTCCTAGTCAATTTTGTGACTTTATCGTAAAAGTAATGTTACTGGCATTTATTTCTTCCACCCCCACCTCCAAACACACACATGTTGTGACTGGAATACTTCCTTTCTTGCCAAGGAGTGTCATGCCCTGAAAAAGTATTTGCACTGTCTGCACAGCTAATGGAGGCCCAAGAATCAAGACTTACTTAAGAGCTCAGTCATAAAGGTCTGTTTTCAAAGTTACTTAATGTCCCAAGTGATGTTGGTAAATCCACATTAATAAATGTGTAGTATTTTAGCTGACATTAGGATTTGAAAAAGAACCTACAGGACCGGGGATTTAGCTCAGTGCTTCTGCCTCTTTCCTTGCAAGCACAAGGTCCTGAGTACCATCCCTGGTACCAAAAAAAGAAAAAGAAAATGAACCTATAAGGATTTTCTATCATGGGTGAGACGATGATACCTAACCTCATTAATTGAACCATACATTTAATAGCCAAAAACAATAAGTCAGAAGAAATGCCACATATTGATCATGATGCTTCTGTCAGTCATTTGTTGGATGATGGAGAAATTACTGGGAGGTTTTTAAAGACACATAAGCCTGGGGATAGTAATGATAACATGAAGGATGACAGTGCTACATTGTGAACACAGAGGCAGAATCACTAAAGCACTGTGGCCATAGTTACCACATAGAAACATGTTCCTAAGACATGACATTGGTAGAAATCTTTTCAAAAGGCCATCTTGGGTGTCAGTGTGTCATCACCTGAGAACCCTGATCCTGGCATATTGTCACTGTTTAGGTGACCAGAAGTAATGGGTCTTTTTTGCACACATGAACATCTATATCCACAGGGATTGAGTTTTGATTTTGTATGTATTTGAAAGTTTACCAAATGTTTTAAAGAGAAAAGTAATAGTTTTCATAATCTTTACCAATTCTATAATCAATTATTAGACTGTTACATATGTAGCTTACTATACTTGTAATTATGAAATTATAACAAATTGTCCTCATATAAACTATAATACTGTTTATAGAGTATTTATCTAATTTAATGTGAATATTCATACATTTTCTAAACATACCAATGTGATGATGATATTTGTGACCTTTGCAAAGTCTAGAAATTCTGAATTTCAGAATGTACCTGAGGCCAGCCAGATGTTTTAGATGGGAATGGTAGACCTATACTGTAAAAAGAAGTAGCGACTTCCAAAATAGCACAGTAAGAACCTTTGGAAATCTGCTCCTCTATAAAAAAAAAAACACTGACAAAAGTTTTCAAAATCAGCATATTTGGATCACTAGAAAGGAAAGGTTTATAATAATTCTAAGAAGCATTAATTTAAGGAAAATTGCTAACTCCCACTAGGAATAATGAACTTTACAGTATTTTAACTTGTCCTTTCTTCATCTCTCTGGTAGTTTTGAAAACTAACAGCCTTATAACAACTGAAAAACAGTAGCCTGGCAACCACTGGGGGAAACAGCACAACTTTGCAGCTCTGCTATGACTCCCAACCCAGAGAATTGTCTCTATTTGACCTCACTGACAGTACCCTGAAAAACTTCATTCTCAAGGACTGTCTTCCTTAGACCTGTTTTAGAACTTGCTTACTGTAAACATCCTATCTTTACCAAGATGTTTGTCAAGAGTAATCATTCTTAAACATCAGGGCGCCTGGAGATGCTGTTACCAGTAGGCCCTGAGAAGAGTCTGACCAAAAAATTAAAAAGGTCACTCGGGACAATGAGATGTCCATGAGAAGAGATAAAGGGCTGTGCATCTACCTAAAAAATGAAAAGACCTTGATGTTTCATCTTTGACCTTGAAGATCCATTCAAGGTAGAAGTAAAGGCCAAGTCAGAGTTCTAAACTATTCACAGAAATACTGAAATCATGACCCAACACATGCAGCACCTTCGCAGAGGCTGGGAGACTTTTAAGGCAATTGTATAAGTCAAAACTAGAGTCTTCAGTAATTGTGCCCAACAAAGAATACAGGTATTATACAATTAATTCAGGAAAATCACTTAACTGACAGCAACATGGAACCCTAGGGATGGGAAGGGAAACATATAGATAATATGATTTCCAGAGGTGCCATGTTACATTATTTAAAATATTCCTTTCCACAAGAGAAATTATGAGACATACAAATAAATGGACCTGTACACACTAAAAAAGACAGTTGCTATAAACTGTCCCTGAGAAAGCCCAGATGTTGGACTTATTGGACAAAAACTGTACATCAACTAATGGAAAGATTTTAAGAGAACTAAAGAACAATCTGTTTAAATAACTAAAAGAAAGTATGAAACCATTTCCTACCAAGTAGAAAGCATTAGTTAAGTAATAGAGATTATTTTTAAAAGAACCAAATAGAAATTCAGGAGTTGAAAAGTACAATAACTGAAATTAAAAGTTTAGCAGCAGATTTAAGCTGACAAGAAAACTAGTGGACTTGAAGATACATTGTTTGAGATTTTCTAGTCAGAAGGTCAGGAAAAAAAAAGAAGAATGGAGACACCAGACACGGTGGTCCACAAACCTTTAAATCTAACTGCTCTGGAGGCTCAGGTAGGAGGATCACTAGTTTGAGGCCAGTCTGAGCAATTTAGCAAGACCCTGACTCAAAAATAAAATTTAAAAAGGGCTGGTGATGTAGCTCAGTAGTAGACCACTTGCCTAGCATGCATGAGGTCCTGGGTTCAATTATCAGTATTGCAAGGAAAAGAAAATAAAGTGGACAGAACTTCAAAGACTTGTGGAACCCTATCAAGCATACCATATAAGCGTAATGGAATTTCTATAAAGAGTAGAGAGAAATATTAGAGTTTAAGAAATAGTGATGCCAGACTCCTCAGATTTGATAAGAAATATTAACCTAAAAAGCTTAATAGTATAGAGAATGGAGATTTTTGTTGTGATGAAAATATCCTGAGATTAGATAGTGGTGATGATTGCACACCTCTGGGGATGTGCTGAAAAGCTAACGAATCATGCACTTCAAAATGAATTTTATGTAAATTGTATCTCAATAAAATTGTTTAAAAAACAACAAGACTGCTGGGTGTGGTGGCACATGCCTGTAATCCCCAGCACTTGGGAGGCTGAGGCATGAGGAGTGCTGTGAGTTCAAGACCAGCCTGGGCTACATAGTGAGTTCCAGGTCAGTCTCAACTAAGTAGTGAGACCCTGTCTCAAAACAACAACAACGGGGGTGGGGTGCTATTTATATGGAGATGGGAAGATCTCCAAGATATTTATTATGTTAAAAAAAGGCATTTCACAGTATATAGCATACACTACTTTCTGTAGGGAAGAAGGGAAAGAAAAATTTGTAGTTGTTTGCTCTTACATTAAAAAACAGCATAAGGATTGATAGTGCTAGAAGAGAGATGACAATTACACTGTGTAAAGACATGGGTGGAAGCAAGAGTTCTCATTATCAATCTTTTTATATCACTATCATTTTGAATGCTGGGTAAGTATTATTGTTTTTAAGAGACTGTCTAAATCCCTGTGGGCTACAGTGGGGAAATCTTGTGGGGAATCTGGGTATAGCTGAGTGTGGGCTGCAAATAAAGGCATAAATATTTTAAGAATTTTTCTTCTATATAGGCTATTTCATAAGTCAGTACATAATTACATGGCCCAGTATGTAGCAGATAAAGGCCATTTCAGCACCTGAAATCTCATATGGTCAGTCAGTGGTCAGGCTGATTTTTTGTTGTTCAAAACTTAAGAGAGATTTTTTAGAATGTTGAACTCATTTTTCTTTGCAAACACTGTGGTGAAGAATAAGTATATCATAAGTGATCAGATCACAAAAACCATGTTGCCGAACTGCATTATAATAGTACTGTGACTCTACAGTAGACTAAAGTATTTACTGAATGAGTAAAGTTTTTCTAAAATTTAAACATGAGGAGTAGGAGCTGGCAAACTTTTCCTGGAAAAGTTTAGATGGAAGGATGGTGAGGAGAACAGGCAATAAAAAGGATCTAGATGGAATGTGTCTTATGTACCCATATCCTGTGATGTAAACATTCATTATGTGCCAAAATATACTAGTGAAAAAATGTAAAATATCTTTGACTTTGTTTCTTACAAGGACTCAACCCTCCTTGTAGTAATAGAAAAGTAGTGAGAAGGTGATATGTGACATTTGGACACATGAATGTTTTGAAACTGATTCTGAGTTTCACCTCCAGGCCACAGTTTGCCAGCCTCACACTAAAATACTGATTAAAAGGAAAGAGATAAATGTCTTCTAGTTCTTAACTGGGAAAGTAGTTCTGCCCTTGTGCTGTCATTGGGAGTTCACAGAGCAGGTAGTCCCTGACTTCCTGGTTGTGGTGGCAGCATCGGTACCTTTTGAGGAGTTCCTCTTGGGTGTCAGCTCTGAAATAAAAATCTGAAATATGAGTCCTTCAGAGGACAGAGATGAGATGAAACTTGTAACCATTGAGTACCTGGTCTTCTCCATTCCTGTCTTTGTGACATGCCATGTTGCCACAGGAGCCCTAACATGGAATTAGAGCTGCGTTTATGTCACTTAATTAGCTTGGTGGCCTTAGAAGAAGGAAAAGCTTTCTGGGCCTCTGTTTCTCTAGCTGAGCTTTAGTGACTTTGTGTATAATATAAGGAGATTGGACTGGAGATGGTATTTAGATCTCTTCTGATGCTAAAATGGCATTTAGAGGAGGAATCTATTGCCAAGAGACTATATGCTGTATATAGTCTTTTTTTTTTTCTTTTTTTGGTACCGGGGATCGAACTTGGGTCCTTGCACTTGCGAGGCAGGCCACCGAACCGCCGAGCTGAATCCCCAGCCTTATGCTGTATATAATCTTTTTTTTTTCTTTTTTTGGTACCGGGGATCGAACTTGGGTCCTTGCACTTGCGAGGCAGGCCACCGAACCGCCGAGCTGAATCCCCAGCCTTATGCTGTATATAATCTTAAATTGGAAACTTCATGCATGGTTTTTCTGAGAAAGTTTTGCTTAGAAAAATACAGACACGATAAGTAATTGTTGCACATTTATCTTTCAGAGTCGAAGATGGACTATGTTCTCAGTGGCACAGATTATTATTTTTTTACACCATATGTATATCCATCCACATGGCCAGAGGATGACATATTTCGACAAACTATTAGTCTCCTGATTGTAACAAACCTTGGTGCTTTTGTCCTTTATTTCTTCTGTGCAACACTGAGCTATTATTTTATCTATGACCATTCATTAATGAAACATCCACAATTTTTAGAGGTAAGATATTTTCTTAGCTATTTTCTAACTACTGTTACAGTAAAATAAATTGTGATATATAGTAAAAATATATGATCTTTTGCCGGATTTTCAGATTAAATTGGGTATATGTAACCATTAAAGTTTTTGAAACCAGCCCCTAAAATGGATTAGCTTTTTTTCTGAGTGATACTCTTCATCCCTTAATTTAAATATATGAGTGAATCTTAATTTTTTTTTTGTTATAAGACTACTATCTTACCTTGCTAAATACATGGATGAGAATATTTTTGCTAATACAGTATTGATGAACAATAAATGTACTCATTTATTTAATTATGTTGTTTGACTTTCACAAACTACAATGTGCTTTAAACATGTATGTTTTTCTTTAGTCAGGAGATTCAAATTCACATCATTAGAATTGTTTTAGTCATTCAATTATTTGTATTTGTCAGTTACTCCAAGGACTAAAAAAAATTTTTAGGAGCTTTTTTGGGGGGAGTCTTTTTTGTTTCTTTTTCCTTTTTGGTACCAGGAATTGAACTTGGGGTCTCCCACATGCTAGGCAAGTGCTGCACTGCTGAGCTACATTCTCGTTAATAATAAGGTTGGGGATAGAAGGTAATTATGAAAGAAATGATTATTTTATAAATAGAGATTTAGAATGAAAATTTTGTGGGAAGGAGAAAAGATTTTAGAATTTAAGGTAGTTATGTTATTTGCTCAATACAAAATTATTTTGCTTATGTGCTCTCATGTTTTGAAATTTTGTAGAAAAACAATATGGAGATGTCCCTTAATACATGTAAGAGAGTTTCAATACGAAACATTTTATGCCATTTTTGTTGAACACAGATTTTTGTAACTCTTAAATACTGGACATTTTATTTTCAGAATCAAGTCTATCGAGAGATTAAATTCACCATCCAGTCAATGCCATGGATCAGTATTCCTACTGTTGCATTGTTCCTGTTAGAGGTGAGAGGTTACAGCAAATTATATGACGACATAGAGTTTCCCCATGGTAAGTAAAGAAGACAGCAGTCAGGAGTCTGGCCTAAACTGGGCTGATTTCTTTACAGAAACAATTCTCCTTCTCCTTTCCTTCATTTAAATTGCTTAGTTGATTTTTGTGTTCTGCTTTCATGCATTCATATCTTGCCACATTTGTGTATTTCCTTTATTTTGTCTATCAACTTTAAAGTCTATTATAGATGAAATTGTGCCTGGGAGAAAATTAAGTGATCAGATAGGCCCTTGAATTTGTTTCCTTTTTTTTTTTTTTTTTTTTAAGCAAAACATTTATTGGTATATTTTAGATTTAGATTATATATAATGATAATATTAATCATAGGGAAATTGACCCTTTATATAATATATCCTGCCTCTTCTCCCACCCCGACCCTTCCCCTCCTTATATACAGAAGCTTTGTTTCCATTTTTAACTTCTATTTGACTTTTTTTTCCTTTTCCCTTTCTCCCTCCTGCTCCTTGTTCTCCTTCCCATTAGAACACTTTCTTCCCATTTCCCAACATCCATTGTATGTCTCAGTCCTTATTTCCAGTTTCAGTTCACACCAGAGAATGTGGCATTTAAATATGTGTGTCCAATTTATCTCACCTAAGAGTATGGTCTCAGGGTGCATCCATTTAGCTGTAAATGTCTCAAGCTCATCGTTTGTACTAGCTATGTCTTGTAAACAAATGGATAAAGAAGATGTGGGTTTTTATTCATATAATGAAGTACTGCTCTGCCGTAAAGAAGGATAACCTTATTTCTTGTTATTTTTCTTGAATCCAAACTTTAAAAAGTGATTCAACTGGCACATGAATATTGCTAAAAAACTGAAAATATGAGTTTTTAAGAATTTAATGTAAAGGTACAAGATCCCAATGATGAATGCAACTGTACTGTATACCTAAAATGTACCAATAAACTCAATGAGGGAGAAAAAAAAGAATTCATTGTCCTATTACCTGGAAACTAAATCTTTTGTCACATATCTGCCCACTTTTCTGTCTGTATATGTCATTATTTATGTGGCAAAAATGGAATTGTATTGTACATACTGGTTTGCACCAAGCTTTTTCCACCTCAATAAATATGGGCATAATTTCATATCAATAAATGTTGACATTAAATAGTGCATTAGTTAGAGTATTTCATTGTATATATGTCTATCATTTATTAATTGCTAATCACTAGACCTTTAGATATTTATATTTGTTTCTGTTGTAAGCAGTCTTGCAATAATTAAGTCTTTAAAATTCTAAAACTATTTCATCAAGATATATTTTTAGTATCTAGACTATGGAATACAAGAACAGCAGTTAGCATTTACTGAGTATTAAAATGTGCTAATGACAGTCCTAAGCTCTTCTCATGTGTCAAAGCCATTTATTCCTACAACAGTTCTGTGAGGTGGCAGCTATTACTTTGTTTCTTCTGTAGGCAAGTAGATTAGGTGCATGCAGTATTTCAGTAACTTGCTTACTTTACTCAGCAATTGAGTGGTAGATCTAAGACTTGAACCCAGGCATGCTGGCCCTAAAACCATGCTCTAAAAGTGAGAGGTCAGCTACTTAATGAAGGGGGCAGCATTATACACTAGAATTGCCTGGGCTTTGAAAAATGATTAGGCATATGACTTAAAAATAGAGGGAAGGGGAGCATTCTAGATTTATGGGATATGTGAGTAAAGGGGCAGATATTAAGAGTATCAAGATTTCAGGGCACTGAGTAAACTCACCTGGTTAGAGCAGAAGTGTGGGAATGATAAGGTTGAAAAGGTCAGAAAGGATCAGTTTATGGATTAATGATAGGCTGGAAGCATTTAGTAAAAAAATAGGTTCCTAAGCAAGAAGATCCTATTGTTAAGATAATGATTTAGGAAGGTTATTACGAAGGAAAATGATCAAGTAGTAGTATTCTCAGGGATTTAAATAAAATAACGTGTCTCAGGAATGACCTTTTCTGTCTTATGTATCTTTATTATTTAATAAGAAATTACACATTGATAGGTAAAATTTTGTCTTTTGTATATCAGTTAAAAATTAATGTAAAAAAAGAAATCAATTAAATGTTGGACATTTCAAGTTCTTGTGAGAAGAACAATAAGATAATGACCAGATTTCATAGAGTGAGGGGAGATTAATTTATAATGTATTGAGTTAGCCAAAACAGTTTATGTTGTTTGAATCTAGGATTCCATTTTAAATTTACATGGACATGTGAAAAGTGAACTCTAGTCCTAGGAGCCAAATCTTGATTCTCCTGTTTCCTCTTGTCTCTTCTAGGCTGGTTACAACTCATTGTTAGTATAATATCCTTCCTCTTTTTCACCGACATGCTGATCTATTGGATTCACAGAGGCCTTCATCATAAACTTGTATACAAGGTAGAGTCATTAGAAGGGGAAATAATATTATACATTTCAGCAATGTATGATTATCAATTTTATTCTCTTTCCCAAGAATTTCCTTTAGTAAATGTTTAAGTAGCCAGAGTCAGCAGGTACATTTTGTTCTTTTTTTTTTTTTTTTTTTTTTTTTTTTTTTTTTTTTTTTTTTTTTTTTTTTTTTGGTGGATCTAGAGGGACTATGTTGAAATTTTGCTGGTGGGTTAAAGAAGGAGGGTCTTTTATAAAGCTTTTTTGCTGGTTCCAAAGGGATCTTTTAATTAGGTTGTCTTCATAACATGAGTATGCAAAGTTAAGTTGACTGTTACACTGGGTAAAGCTCATGGTGCTAATTATGTTCCTTTCTTCTTTAGCGCATACATAAACCTCATCATATGTGGAAGGTTACTACTCCATTTGCAAGTCATGCTTTTCACCCACTGGATGGCTTTCTTCAGAGTCTACCTTACCATATATACCCTTTTGTTTTTCCATTACACAAGTTGGTTTACTTAGGTCTGTACATCTTTGTTAATGTTTGGACAATTTCCATTCATGATGGTGATTTTCGTGTCCCTCGGATGTTTAGGCCATTTATTAATGGCTCAGCTCATCATACAGACCACCACCTGTTCTTTGACTATAACTATGGACAGTACTTCACATTGTGGGACAGAATTGGAGGCTCATTCAAAAATCCTTCTTCCTTTGAGGGGAAGGGACCACATAGTTATGTGAAGAATATGACAGAACAGAAGTGCAATAGCCCTTCAGAAAACGGTTATAAAAATGAAAAATTAGGCAATGGAGAGCTTAAAAAGATAGAGTAGATTATTGCCCAAATCTTAGTTATTTTTAATAAGGAGAAATAATTGATACCCAGTGAAGATACATGGCAATATGTGGCATCACTTGATAATCAGCATTGTGCACACTGCTGAGTAACATTGTGGTAAATCAAAGGAAGATGCCGAGAACACCAAGATTCTAATACCATGTTTCAAATACTGAGTGCTGGTCCAAGGACAGTTTGTATCTTTCCGACCAGCAGATCTATTGTTTTTATAGCCTCAACAACAGTTTTAAATAAGAAAGAATAAACTACTGAAGGGACCTGGCTGTATATCCTTTTGCCTTGGTCTACCCATAGTCAGTAAGAAAAATTCATTGTGTTCAATAATTCCACAGCTAAGTACCATAACCAAAAAATACTAATGTAGAGATGGTTCCTTGTTTGAGGAATGGTTAATTCTTCAGTATTGGTATGATGATGACTACTTCTAGAACTTTGCTCAATTAGAAACATCAGTGTGGAAAAAAAGCTGATATATTAGTGTTTATACCAGTGACAGTAAATTGGAATTTTTAAAAAATAACAGCTCTATCATGATTTAATTCAGATATGAGATTATTTAACTGAAGATATTGATGGTTGCCATTGAAAACTATTATTCAATAAGCATAAAAGTTAAGAAATAGTATATTAGGGAAATTTGATGCTCAAATAATATATTTGACATTGCTGATTTTTTAATTAAATAGATGCACTGCACTTTTGATATTTTTCAAAGTTACAAATCTGAATAAGAATAAAAGGAAATAATTTGGGCTGGGAATGTAGCTCAGTGGTGCCGTACCTGCCTGAGTTCGATTCCTGGTACCAAAAAAGAAAAATGAAATAAAATTTATCGGAAGATGTGTGTGCAAATCTCATTCTCCTATTTCTCTCTCTGATAACTTTCCCCTACCTCCTCAAAAAGTTTTAACAAACACTTTCATAAAAAAAATGTGTGTTGTAAGAAATGTGTTGGAAAAACATAATTTTAAAGATATTCTATTGCTATTTATGTAAAATCAGTAAAGTATCATACTGTTGTTAAACTGCATCAGATAAATATTGTAGTAGTACAAAATAGTCTTTATACAAATTGTTGTAAATTTGAAACCAGGTATTAGATTGTTAAAACTGTTTTAGAACCTTCCCAGATGCTCATTGTCAAATAGAGGAAGAGCGAAGGGGATTATTACATTCTTTTTATGTCTCACATTTTATCAGATTTATAGTTAGTTTCCATGTTGATCTTATGGGGCAGTTTGATTTGGTTCTCATCTAGTTTGGTTTACAACCAGAATTGTGGAGAGAATTGAGTTTGTGAACCAAGGTACCACTGTATTTTAGCAGGAGACTAGTCATAAAGTGTAATGCCTGGGATCTAGAAGAAAATGATTTTCAATTTTTAAAATGTTGAATTCAGTGTACCACTTTTTTTAACAGGTAAATGGAGTTGAGTACTTTTCGCTAGTCCCACCCAGCCCAGTGCTTCACTTTGCCCAAGAGTAAGAAGGAAATTAAAGAGAAGTAAATTTGTTTCTTAATAACAGTGACATCTAATATGTATTGAGCTTTTCTCCATCAGGCATTGCTGTGAGTCTTTGACATGATGAAACTAAGACTCAAAGAAGTGAAGTAGCTATGCAGGGTTTACTTCTTGTAGTGCAGCTGTTCCTGGTGAGTGGGCAGCTTTCCACATATTCGTTCTGCATCTCAAGCTCCATCTTACAGCTCTTCCTTTGTATTAGCCCAGAATCCAGTTTGTCGAAGGGGGACATGGGGGAAGAAGGAAACATCTGTGCATGAAGAGTTTCTCTGAGCTGTACCTCGAAGTGGTATATATATATGTCTTTTGTTCCCATTTCTTGGAGAAAACTCAATCACAGCCCACTAGACTGGACAAAATTCATCCCTAGCTGTGTCTGGCTATATGCAGGGATGAAGGAGAAGCCAGTTTCTTGAATAGATAGCAAACTTTACCACATCCATGTGGTTTATTACCCTCTTCATGAGGGAAATGGAAATAAAGATATTAGAGTGATAAATGAGCTCATTTCAAATTTTCCCTGTGCTAGTTGTCTTAGTATCTTTAATTCCATACACCAGTATCATTGTGAAAATGATATCAAGGTTTTATTCCTGTTTAGCTAATACAGAGGAAAGGATGTAATTTATGAGGAGAAAGAAAAGTTCTAAAAAGTATTAAGAATAGTCAAATTAATCTCTGCCTTTTCACCCTTGTTAAAGTTTTGGTCTTTTTAAGCTGAATTGTGTTGAGTAATTCCAAGTTTACTTTTTTAATGCTTCATTATATTCTATTTTCTATTAGAGGAGTTCAAAGAATATTCAGGGAAGTAAGGACCTAAATTCCTTCCTATAGGAACAGCAATTGAAAAACTTTCTTTCCTCCTTGACTTTGAAACCTTTTATAGTTACAGAATTAAAGGGGAAAATCAAAGTTACATTTTTTTACTTTTCTGGTAGAAATTGGAGATAGATGGAGATGATTTCAAAAACCCACATTTAGTGTGTCTTCATCTTCCTCCCTTGTGTCTGTAACACTGAATGCTATGAATCTGCTCTTCCCCTTGTTTCTTTCCTCCTATCAAGAAAGCAGGGATAGGTATGGGGGAGAATTATGGGTTCAATTTTTAATGGGTGCTGTTTATAGTACAGGAAGTTATTTTACAGAGGAATGATGTCTGGGAGATAGATCAGAGCAGAGATTTGGGATTAATTTAGGTAGAAAAAAGGGTGAAGTCATGCATTTGTCATGGAGAGCAGAAATTACGTTATCCAACTAAACAACTTCGGTGCTGTGGTCTGAACAGAGCCTTGAAATTCATACATTAAAACCAAATATGATAGTGTTAAAGGTAGGACCATTATGAGTGATTAAGCCATGCCCTCACGAATGGGACTAAAGGTATAAAGGAGCTCTATCCCTGTTTTAATTCTTCCCATCATGTGAGGACCCAGCATTTGTTTCCTCCAGAGAGGATGCAGCACCAAAGAGCCATTATGGAAAGCGATTGAGTCTGCCAGACACCAAGCCCTCTGGCACCTTAATCTTGAATTTACTAGCCTCTAGAACTGTGGGCAGTTAATTCCTGTTTGTAAGTGACCCCCAGTGGAAGGCAGCAGGAAATAACTAAGGGAAAAGAATTTTCTTTCCTAGTCTTTGTAACTTAATACTAAAAACACTTGACTGACAGTATTATTTCAGCAGTTCCTGCTTTTGGTCACCTTTTTTTGTTATGTACATTGTATTTGTTCTAGACCTTGAAAGTAGAAATGTCTGAATCATCATGGCATTAATCCATGCATTTTTACAAAATGCTTGAGATGTAATTGAGGTTCAATAAATACTTTGCTGAATGTATTAAATAAATTGGTGAAGATGTCATTCTCTTCAGGGTGTGTTTAATGAATTCCAAATAGCAAGCAATGCAGTACATACATTTAATCTGTTCTTATGCTCTCTTTTAACCCACCAAATTGTTTTCATTAACTGTTTTCATTGACATTTGTTAAGTACTTTCAGGGAGTAAAAAGGAGAAGCAAAGAGGAATCAAAGATTGTCCCTCCCGAAGACGTTTTCCCTCACTCAAAATCAACCTGGAAACGAAACCTACCAGTATCCCTGAATCTGACCATGTCCAAATTGGTAATGGAGTGCTGATTAGGGAGTCATGAATCTGTCTACACAGCTCTTAACACAATGCTCTGGGTATTAATGGATGCTCAAAAAAAAAGGTTGATTATACCAAGGAAAAGCAGACCAAGAGTTGAAGAGAGCTATGAACACAAATGAACGAGTGTGTGCTACTTCTGCCACTCTGATTGCACGACCTTGGTTTTTGTTTGTTTTTTTAATATGTAAATGAACAAAACAACTATGTTTGAGTTAGAAACACTCAAATGTCAACTAAGGTGTTTGTCTAAATTGTACTTGATGCTTTTCCTTTATAGGCTCAATGATTATCGTCATGACTTGGATAGGACCTCAGTAGAAGTTGCAGAGGGAAAGGGGAAATGTCTGGGTGTTTACACCTTAAAACTGGAAGATAAAAGACATTGGAATGAATTGGAGGTAGGGGCTGCAGAGGAAATCATGAAGTAAAATTAAAAATGATACAGTATTTACTGTAAATTATAAGAGGTAAACTAGATTGCATAATTTTTCTGTATAACTTCATTTTTAAAACATTGCTATAAACCATAATGCTAGCCTACAAAATTTGATGATAGAATAAATGGCTTTCCTGAAGAAGAAATTTCCACATGGCAAGAAGTAAGTGTAAGCCATGTATCAGTGAACTTTACTGTTGGGTTTTTCGTATACAAAAACTCCACAGAATACTTGTTTCAGTAATACTGTCCTGGGACTGGAGGTGCATCCTAGGTTTGATCCCTGGCACTGCAAGTTATGTGTGTTTCCTTAAATCTGTATGGTCAACTTGAAGATCATACTACTAAATTACACATACGTTAAATTTTGTAAAAAAATCCTATTTCTTTGATTAATCATAAACATCAAATGCTAAATATTTTGTACTATTTATATACTTTATTAATCATGATTTTTAAAACTTTTGATAAAAGGTTTAATGTATTGATTAAATCCCCAAGAGGCAGACTGTGTACTTTATAGATTTTTCTAAGTATCTTGACAACTTTTGATACTCAAACACTTAATCACAAAATAGCATACTGGCATCAAAAGCTAGTCACAACTTAAAAGTATTCACATCATAGGCTTTTATTCACTGCATCATTTACTGGACCTTCCTCTATTTTATGATTATAACTTTGCTAAGCCATTTATTTATTTGTTTGTTTGCTTATTTTTGTGTCTGTGAGGTAGGTGGTGGCAACACTGAGCTAAACCCCTAGCCCCTAAGCCATTTATTTAAATATAAACTGGACCTCTGACATGTTCTACCAAAAGAAGAAACAGAGAGAAACCTAAAAGCTCAAGGCACATTCAGCTATTAAGACAGCAATTGTACTGGTGATTTCTGTCCATTTTTTGTTTGTTTTTGGTTAGCTTAGAGGAGATATAATTTACATAGTGTATCCATTTCAATAGTACAGTTTAATTAGCCTTGACAAATTTATACACCAGTATCAGGATTTAGAAATTTTCTTTACCAGAGAAAGTTTTGTCTCCCTCTGCAGTTGATCTCTTCCCGGCCCTAGGTAACCACTGATCTATTTTTGGTTTACTGAGG